GTTTCCGTCGGTCCAGGTCGTGGATCAGCAGCAGGATCGTGTGTTGCCTATTGCTTAGGAATTACCAATATTGACCCTATAAAGTATGACCTACTTTTTGAGCGTTTTCTAAATCCCGAGCGTGTATCCATGCCCGATATAGATATAGATTTTGATGATGATGGTCGTGGCAAAGTGATCGATTACGTCATAGATAAATATGGCAAAAATCAAGTAGCACAAATAGTAACTTACGGTACCATGGCCGCCAGATCATCGCTCCGAGATGTGGGTCGTGTCATGAATATTCCGCTCAATGAAGTAGACAGAGTGGCCAAAGTATTCCCTTCGCATCTTACAGCGACCCTTGCAGGTGTATTGGCTGAGAAGGATATTGACCCGAAGCAAAAGGATGTTTTTACGAGTGAAGACAAAGAAAAAGCCTACGACTTCAGAAAGATGGCTGAGGAAAAGTCTGAGATAGGTGAGATGATTCGTACCGCTAAAAAACTCGAAGGATCTGTAAGGAATACTGGTATTCACGCTTGTGGTGTAATCATTACACCAGATGACATCACCAATTTTGTGCCTGTTTCTGTAGCTAAAGATTCTGAACTTCTTGTATCACAATATGATAACAGTGTCGCGGAAGAAGCAGGACTGTTAAAGATGGACTTCCTTGGACTCAAGACTTTGACAATCATCAAAGATGCACTAGAAATTATCAAAGATAGATACGATGTTGATATAGATATTGATGCCATATCACTCGAAGATGAAAAAACTTTTGAACTGTTTCAACGTGGCGACATGGTCGGTATCTTCCAGTATGAATCTCCAGGTATGCAGAAGTATCTTAGAGATTTGATACCTACGCGATTTGAAGATTTGATAGCGATGAATGCCTTGTATCGTCCAGGTCCACTACAATATATTCCCGACTTTATTGCCAGAAAAAATGGTAAACAGGAGATAAAATTTGACCTTGCAGATATGGAGGAATATCTGTCAGAGACGTATGGTATTACCGTTTATCAGGAGCAAGTAATGTTGCTTTCGCAGAAATTGGCAGGATTTAGTAAGGGTGATGCCGACATGCTTCGTAAGGCAATGGGTAAAAAACAAAAAGCAGTTTTGGATAAGATGTTTCCAAAATTTGTAGAAGGTTGTAAGGCCAATGGACATCCTGAAGATGTGGTCAAAAAAATATGGACAGACTGGGAAGCTTTTGCATCCTACGCATTTAATAAGTCACACTCTACTTGTTATGCTTACATTGCATTCCAGACAGCTTATCTAAAGGCGCATTATCCCGCAGCATTCATGGCATCGGTGCTCAATCACAATAAAAGTGATATCTCAAAGATCAACTTTTTCTTGCAAGAGACGAAAAGAATGAAAATCGATGTACTTGGTCCTGATATCAATGAAAGTAATATAAAGTTTGCCGTCAATGCCAAAGGTCAGGTGCGTTTTGGACTCTCGGCGCTCAAAGGTGTAGGAGAAGGACCCGTAGAAGAGATCGTCAGAGAAAGGAAGGAAAATGGTCATTTCGAAGATGTATATGACATGATGCGTAGACTCAATCTCCGTGCTGTCAATAAAAAATGTATGGACAGCTTGGTATTAGGTGGTGCTTTGGATTCATTCGGTGGTCTTAATAGGGCTCAATTTTTCGAATTGGGAGATAGAACAGAAAGTTTCATAGAAGGACTATTGAAATATGGTTCTAATTACCAAGCTCAAAAAGATAGCAACCAAATGTCTCTTTTCGGGGACTCTATGAATAATTATATAGATACTCCTAAACCACCA